TGTGTGTGTGTGTGTGTGTGTGTGTGTGTGTGTGTGTGTGTGTGTGTTTGGGTAGGCCAGAAGTTGATATCAGGGGTCTTCTCACATAGTGCTTTATTTATTTATTTATTTATTTATTTATCTCTTATGAGATTTATTTATTTATTATTTATGAATACACTGTAGCTGTCTTCAGACACACCAGAAGAGGGCATCATTACAGATCTCATTACAGATGGTTGTGAGCCACCATGTGGTTGCTGGGATTTGAACTCAGGACCTCTGGAAGTGCAGTCAGTGCTCTTAACCACTGAGCCATCTCTCCAGCCCCTATTTATCTCTTATTTGAGATATAGTCTTTGAGTAAATCAAGAGACAAATGGTTCCTGATTTATACTGGCTGGCCCAAGGGTGCAGTTATTCCTTCTCCCTCTAGCACTGCAACTTCAGATGTGCGTCATTGTGCTGGCCTGGGTAGATTTCATCAGTGCCTTGAGGATGGTTTCCTTGTATGAGCTAGCAAGGAGCCTCTGTACTCACCACACTAGGAATTTGCTCTGATTGAATGTATGTAAACCGTGTGCATTGAGATTACTTTTTGATGATCCTCTGTTTCTTTAAAATTGGTAGAAATTTCCACTGTGTATTATCAGTATAGTGACAGATGCAACTTTTATGAGAAACCATACAATTTTGACTCAAAACAACAGTTCCCTTTACAAGTAGTTTACCCAACAAAAGGGATACCTGGGCTACTGCTTTTTCATTTTATAAAGTGTCAAGTGATACTTATGAGTGGGTTTCCTAACCAACTCACCTCATTTTAAATGTTACCATAGCACCCATGATCTGTTTATGACTTTTTTTAATTACTGTGTGAAGACTGTCATATCTTTGTGATGATAGAGACAGAGATGTTTTATTCCCTGTTACTTATTTAGAGCCCAGATGAAAGCCTAACCCAGAGCTCTCAAACATATTTGAAGTATACATGAATGCTAAGTATCAAATACGAAAGCTACCTTTATGCTAGTAAATACTGGACTCAGAGTTGGAGCTCTTGGGAGTTTGTGCTTCTCAGGATTTCTTGGGGTGACACAGCCACACAGGTTGATTAGTTTATCCTTAGTGTTCTAGAGGGAGATAGAAGCTCAAGTTCCCAGGGACTGTGTTCTTTAAACCACCATTGCCGTGGTTTGGATTCTTTGTCCTTTGGGGAGCTGTTTTTATTTTTCCCTTTTTACTTCGATCTGTCTTTAAACCTATACTTGCTTTTCTCCCACCCATGCTTCTGAAGGGCCCTGTTGCCTCATTGGTTTCCTATGTAATACAGTCATAGTTCAGAAGGGACCCACAGTGTGGAAAGTAGACTGCTTTGAATGATTTTGAAGCTGTAATAATCTCACGGCTCTCCCTATAGTTTATGTTGACTCTGCCTTGCTTATATTATTCTATGATACAGTATTTGCTGCTGGCAATTAATCCCAGAAACAATTTACTGACTATGTTTTTTTTTAATATTAACAAAAGACTTTAATTTATTCAATCAAATAAGACATTCTAGAGAAAATATCCTTACACGATTTTGCTAGGTTGTCTAATGTGGCTTTAAGAGTTATTTAATTATTAATAAGAAAAAGTATATATGTATATACAGTAGATAATCATCCATTATAAGCCAAGAATTGTGGTAGGTAGAGTAAATGGAAAGAAATCTGTTTCCCAACCCTTCTAATAAGCCTGTCCCATTGCACTAGGAGATGAGTTGGAGACAGACAAGTAAAGTAATTACTGTTTTGCTGTCCATGACGCAGGTAACCTGCAGTCATCTTCTCTGTGGTCCTCCTGCTGACCTATTGTCAGAACAGAAGTTAGAAGTAGCCTAAAGCTGGGTCACAGTGCCTATCAGTCATCTCACTTCCTCTGATGACATAAGCTTTATGTTATCTCACGTAGGTATCACAAGAGAGTTGAATAAATTTCAGTAAGAGAGGGAGAGAACCATACTTATAACTTTTAATTTAGCATGTTGTTCAGTTATAAATCTCTTATTCTGAATTTTAATCTTTATGGTGGGCAGACCTATACATAAGAAGGCATCATATATGAAGTATTCAGAGCTCTTCATCAGTTCTGGCACCCACTCAGTATGTTGGAATGTATCTCATAGATAGGGGTTCTTCTGTAGTTCAGCAATACCTTATTCTGTGTTCTACAATAGAGAACTTACTTCTCATTAGCATATGAAGGGAGTTAACTTACCCATGGATGGTGGACTGAAGAACATGGTGTTGGACCTTTGTGTCTGGAGTTAACACAAGTGAAGGATAAGTGTACCAGACAGTGTTAGAGATGAGGCTGCCAAGTAGAGTGGATAGAAACTGGATTATGGCCAGATCTACTGGCTCGGGTCAGGCCTGTTATTCAAGCTACTCGAGAGGCTAAGTCAGGAGGACCACAGATACAAGACCAGCCTGGGCCACCTAGGGAGTTCAAAGCCAGATTGCCAACTCAGTGAAACCATGTTTCAAATTCAAAAAAGCAAAAAGAGATCTTGGTATAGAGCTCTGTGGTAGACCCCTTGCCTAACATGTGAATCCCTAGAACCAAGCACTAGTAGAACAGTGGCAAAAAGATCCAGATTATAAGGAAAATCAAAGCACCTGGCAGCTCGTTACCATGTAGCCTTGGGATTAAAAGTGGGCTTTCAGAGTTGTTAGAGGAGGTGGGTGCTACCACATTCAAATTTTGATGAAAACAAACTGCCCTGTCTTCCATGTCTGTAAAGCTTGGGGTTTTGTGCTTGTTTGCTTATTGAAGTGCAGTTTCATGGTATAGGCTGGGGTTATTACAGGAACCTAGGATGGATGAGAGGATAGCTGTCTCTCATTGCCTGTCAGTGTTGAAGGTCTCCCTGGCACAGGTGCCTATGTGCTGACATGCATTGTTTAAATGGAGAGTCAGCTTGTCCCTTTTCTGTGTGACGGTTGTATAAGGCATAGAATGCTCTGGGTGGGAGTTTAGAAACTTCTCAAAGTTAAGAAGCAGTGAGACTGGTGTGGCTATACCTCCTGCCTCCCCATCAGTGGCTGGCTTGAGGTCACCTGTCCACTGTCCTTGCCCTTCACTGTTTCCCTGTGATGGTAGCAAGCTTTAACAGGTCTGGAGCGTGGCTTTTGCCCAGGAGAAACATGTGCACACAGGGGACATTGACAAGTCTGTGCTGGCCTTTCCTTGTCACTGCATGACCACTTACCTTTGTCTACCTAGGTACCTGGATGGTGTGGGGAAAAACGGAGCAGCCCCCGTGCTCTTGGAGCTAGCCAATGAGGTAATGTTATTGTTATGATTTTATTTAAACCTGAGCTAAACCTAAGGGGCCTATCTAGAGTAGTGTTACTCAGAATTATAATTAACTTTTAAAAAAGAGAGAGAGAGAGAAAGATTTTGAGGTGTGTTAGACATTTAAATTGCTCCCTGGTCCCTTTGTACTTTTAATAATTGGACAAAGAACTTCATGAATTAATAAATCAGTTGACATAATTAGTCTACTTCTTTTAAGGCAAATGTACAAACAGCTTCTTTGCTTCTTGTTTTGTGGAAAATTTTGACCAAACAGCTCCAAACATGCTCTTAGGTTTGGTTGCTGTAATTTAGCGTGAGAAATACCCATGTCAAGTGAGGGATGTGTGCCAAAGAAACCTATGCTAACTGTTATAAAAACGGAAGGAGAAATTTTATATTTGACAATGTATTATGTACTTGATTCATTTTCCTATTTGTAAACTTTTATTATAATAAAGGATATAAGCCTACGGAAAAGCGTCTTCCCATAAAGAAACATAATATTCTTATTAACACCAAGTATAAAGTGATTTATGGAACTTATTTGTTACCTCTGATCTGCTCCTGTGTGGGGAAATAGCTATCAGCCTAACATTTTCAAAAGGAAACCCTGAAGATTTCTTGTGAATGAAGAAACTGCAGAAAGTTCACAATAGTTGCAGAGAGCCTACCGAAAAATAAAATATTTAATTCCTAAACTCTAAAATATTTATCCACTGTAATGAGAGCAATACAATATTGAGTCTGAGTTGGAATGGCTTATGCAAACCTCATAGGGATGGCATGAAATGCGCACTGTTTCTGTGTTGTGTTATAATGGAAAACAGAGAGGCAAGGCAGAAAATGTGTGTTTGCATTAAAGATGACTCTGTGCTGTGAACATTAAGCGTTGCAGGAGCAGCAAGTTCTACATGCTGCATTAAGAAGGAAGAATGGCTTCTCTTGTCTGCACATTGCTGTAGTCAGCAGAAGAGTAATTACCCATCAGTTAGTAGATAGTTTTAATAGCCTGGGAAAAATCATCATAGTCTGATAGGATAGTTAACACATAGAATGGGTTTGCCTTCTTTTCCTAGCAAAACTTGTATTTTATTTTGTTATTTCTAGAGCAGGGTGGGTATTAAAGATCTCCCGACATTTTGTTTGTTTGCTTGTTTGTTGTCGTTGTAAGTTGGTACTTTTAGTGACTTGAGGCACCCCTCTATGAAGGAGAAGAGGGAGTTAGTAGAATTTTAGGTGCATCTGGGAAAACAGTGATGCAGATGTAGAACTTGCTCACATTGATGCTAGAAGTTCTCTAAAGTAGCACTTTGTGTTCATTTGAATCGAATGTTTAAAAAAAGGTTTATTGTTACTTTTATGTGTATGGATGTTTTGCCTGCTTGTACATCTCTGTACCTTCTTAGTGCCTAATATATACCCATGCCAGGCCAGAGGAGGATGTCAGACTCCCTGAAACTGGAAGTATAGATGGTTATGAGCCACTATATGGGTTCTGGGAATTGAACCTGGGTCCTAGGGAAGAGTAGCCAGTGCTCTTAATCACCAAGCGAACTCTCCAATTGCTTATTTGAATTTTTAATGGATAGTTCTGTAGAACTTAGTTCATGGAACATCTGATCTCAGCTACTATCTTATAATTGTATGGGAAAAGCTAACCCATCACCATATATTTCCCTATATTAATATTTACTATTTACCATGAATATGCAGCAGTATTTATCCTTTCAAAAAAGAAATAGCTGTTTAGAGATATTTTTTTCCTCCCTTCATTTTGGTGCCCAGTTAGTGCACAGGAAACATTTTACATACGATTACTAATGCATTAGGGGAATTTGGAGATGGTGGGTACCAGATTATGTCTTCTAAACATCCAAGCTCCCATGTTTATGTACTAGTTAATACTTAAAGGATGTATGCTTATATCTGGTGGCAGTTGATGTGATGGTAATATTTTATGAGTCAATATATATTTAATCAGTGTAACTGTAAAAATTGATGAGAAATATGTAACTCATACATTATACTGTATAGTAACTCTCCTCTAGACAAAATCACCTTGTTATTGTTAATTTGGGTAGGATACAGGATCTAGGCAGCCATCATTGATTTCATAAATGTCTTAATACTATTTCATCCTGATCAAGTCTGGAAACTAACATTTTAGGAAATCTTTTTCTGTTCCGTAGTTCTGTTCTCTCCACACAAATATTTTCAAGTTAGATTTGAAGCACTATGAATTTTACTTACATGCTAAATTTTGACATGAAGCATGATGGCCCTATTTCAGAGAAAGATGGACACATGATTAATATGAAAATTAGAGAGATGCAGGTACCTGAACTAATAAGGTAGTCCTTATTCAGGCTGGAGTACCTTCAGTAATTTCACCATTTTTCATGTGTCAGCCCTGATGTGCGTTACTACGAATAAGCAGCTCCGTGGAAAGCATTTCTTTCTACTCGGGGAATTTAAGGGCATCCAAGTACATACATATTTGAAAAAAAAAAACTGTTCATACAAATGAAGCTACCCTCTTTGTCTAGTTACTAAATCAAGATAAAATTTTGGTATGAACATAGGGCTTGAGTACCTGTCAAAAAAAAATTCCTAGTGATAATATATGAGGAATATTTCCCATTTTATACTCAGGATAAAAAGGCTCCTGTGAGGCAAGCACCGTTGCTTATAAAAAAACATATATTTCCTGGTGAAATTAATCAATGGAATTAATGAATAATATAAAAAAGAAAATGCTTTTGCAAATGAGTAGGTACCATATTGTTTTTACTGTCACCAACTGAAATGAGGGTTGTGTTGAGTATTGTTGCTTCCTGCTTGATTCCCTGTTTAAAAGCAGGTTCCTTTTCTGAGCACTGTATTTGCTAAATTCATCAGCAGTATTTCAGACCACACTCTGTGGAAATTTATGCTGTATATGTTATTATTGTTGTGTTTTATTCTTAATGTTTCTGCAAAGTAGTTTTTTCTTTTAACATATAACTTATTTTGTATGTAAATAACTTACAGCTAATCTCAGTTCTCTCTAAAGATAAAATGAAATCTTTAGTAATTGAGACATTTGATTCAATTTCTAAAAACTAACTGAATAAAGAATGTTTTTCAAATTTGAAATTGTATTCAAAATAATGTAAGTGTAGACAGTTGGATAAAAAGGGGATTCTAGAATAGAAAACAATATTGGCCCACCAACAAAAACTAAGATTAGAAGCGCCTGTTTGCCTACTTTAAATAAGTATTATTTCTAAGTTGTCCTATCATTCTCGGTTCCAATGTTGTATTCAATAAACTTGACCCATCTTTTCTTTTTAACAGCACAGACCATACTTACAGTTTGTTACAATGGAAGCCACCAAGGGTGGGAAAGGTTTTAATGAATGATGCTTGTTACGGTTGATTAAAATTGACTTAATCTTCAGTGTTGACAAAATATTGGAATATCAACTACTGGCACAGCTTGGCAGTTTTAATTTTCTTCTTCTGTTTTATGAAGGTGGACTATGCACCCTCATTAATGGCTCGGATTATACTGGAGAGATTTCTACAGGGGCATGAACAGACTCCACGTGAGTTACTTCTTTTGCTGCTTCTTCTTATTATTATGATTTTTTTCCTCTAACATTTCTCTTTACTCCCTTATCCCAATTTAAAAATAATTTACACAGCATCTCAAGTCACTTAATGAGAGCCAGATTCCAAAACAGCTATCATCAACAGTTAATGACAATTGAATGCAATATAAAAGACCACCCACAACTTAAATACTCCTCAGAATAATGCTTCTCCTTTGTCTAAATTCCGCATTCTCCTCTCCATTCAGCTAAACAGACAATGTGTATCAAACTAAAAAATTGATTCATCTTTCATATAGAGAACAAGATACATCATTTAAAAAACTACTGTCAGAGCTGGCTGTAAAAGAAACGTTCATCCTTTTTATTTTAATTCAGCAAGACTGGAGAAATGCTACTCTCAAGTGTAAAAATGAAATCCACCGATCTTCGTACAAGAAAAGGAAAAGAAAAAAAAAAGAAGAAGAGAATAGAGCTACGGGAGGAGATTCAAGCCTAAATTAATTTGCCACTGAAAAAATACATTTTGTTATTTTCTCTGTGTCAACTGCATGATTAAAACCGGCTGTTAAGTGAGCTCTGG